CTGCGCCACCAAGGGAGGCCCTGCATTTTTTAAAAGAATGATTCCGTTTGTATTTGTTGGTGGAAAAGCTTTAACTGAGACCCAAAATATGAGTGGCTTCTTTCTCTGGGGCTCAAAGGCATTGCTTTAGGACATCCATCCAGCAACCCAGTTGGTGGGTCAGCTGTACTGTCATCTTTCTCTGGGTCCAAAGCAGTGGATCTACTGAAGACCAAGTAGAGTACAATTTTAAGCAAGTGAGGTACATTACTTCTGCTCATGCTCACTGCTAAGGACTTAGACATATGGTCACACCTAGCCAAGGGAAGCTGGTAAAGGCAGAATGGAGATGTCTAGATGTGCCCAGCTAAAGCCCTGTGCCCAGCTAAAACCACTGAGGGGTGAGAGAGAACAGAGAAACATGAGGGAAGAAAAGGGTGAAAATATATTCATGAATTTATAAATTGCAGAAGACGATTGGATTCTGCCAGCCGTGTCTTCCATTCAGGGACTCTCCCCTCCTTCTAACTGAATCCAGGAAAATTAATGGAGAATATTAAGATTTGCTGTCCAAAGGACTGAGGATTGCAGACAACATTGAATTCCCGGGAAATAATCACAAGGCCATAGTTAGCAACATTCTTCTGTCTCTTACTTTGAGCAGCAAATATTTTCTTTAAAAGTTTCCACCCACAAGTGCAAATATTTCTTTGTAGATGCACATCATGGGCCGAAAATACTCTGCTCTCCTGTTTCAAATTCCATCTTGGAATTTTGAAAATATATCTCAAGAGTAAATGTTGAGGACTAGTATATGTCAGTCAGTGGAAGACCTTGGCATCATCATTTAAAGAAAAACGGCTGATGCTGATAGCCCACAGGTTGGGGCTATTTCCTATAAGGAATAGTGACAACTGGATTCTATCAAGAAGGGACCAAATCTATTTGCTACAAGACAATATGGTGGGGGGGGGGGTGGCACTCAGGGGCCAGTAGACCTGGCACATGCCTGGCACTTGATAAGATACTGGATGATGGATATATGAAGTGTCTTTATTCAGTTTTATTTTTGTTCAGAAATTTCCATCATTAAACATGTTTTTTGTTTTGTTTTTGCTTTTTGTTTCACAGCAGCTTCAATCTTGTCTATGGAGAACAGATCTGTTCCCAGTCATGTCAAGGAGACTCAATTTGTGAAACTTCTCAATAGTTTTTCAAATCTAACTTAATAAAACTATTTCTTCCAATTTTCTTATAAAACTTTTGAGTTTCTGCAACAATTGTTTCTATAAATTATATCGCATTTTAATCAAAATGTTTGGATTTAAACATTTTGGCAATTTACTTAGAAATGCACTTTAAAGATGTAAAATCTTTCATCTAGGATGAAATTTACTTTACTTGAGTCCTTTTCCTTCAACTTTAAAGGATTACTTAATGTAAAACTTTCCTCCTTGAAACAGAGCTGACATATAACTATGTAAAGCTTATCAAATGTTTACCTTTCTACTACTCTAAATACAATTATTTTTTATTCTTAGGATGACAATTTTGTAAAACCCATTTGGGGTTTTAACTTTTTAAAATATTGTCTTTCTTCATTTTGATTGATACTGAAACAAAAATTTATCATTAAATAAGGTCAAGCAGACACAAAGTATCTTTGGACTAACGCAGGGGTTCTCACTCACTGGAGGGGACAATTTGTCCCTACCATGCCCCAGGAGACACTTGGTTATGTCTGGAGACATTTGGGGTTGATATAAGAAAGGGTGTCTACTGGCATCTAATGGATAGAGGTCGTGGGTGCTGCAATCATCCCACAACGAACAAGACAGTCTCCCAAACACAGAATTATCTGGCCCAGAGCCAGAAAGGTTGAGGTTGAGACTCCCTGGACTTAAGTGAGAGAGAGTGCCTGAAGACACTTGCCACAGTTGCCCCTCCAAGGATCAGGCCTGTTGTCGCCTGTCCAGTGCAACTGTGAGGGTGAGTATTCCAGGCTCCATGCCAAGGGCAGCCCTGGGTAGACAGAGAGATGGACTCTGCGGGTACACAATGCAAGTTAGTGTTTGCATCTTACCAGAAATCATGGCCATACCAGGATTCTTTGTTTTGTTTTTAAGCTTTTGAGACATTTTATTGAAATGCTTACTAGTTTGTTATTCATTTACAATTGCTGCAATATTGGACTTTCTAAAGCATTTTGATGATTTACGGAGTCATTGAATTAGAATGATGTTCTGAGAGCCATGGGAAAGTGGGGCAGGGAAAAGGGAACATCTCCTTGGGAGTCTGGAAGCTGATTCACTTCACAGGGCACACCTGGAGTAAGTAAGCGATCATGACACTAAGGGAGGGGAGCTGGGCTCTATGTCCCACCATAGGGCCAGCAAGAGAGCTCAGGTGAGCTGAGCTGGCCCCAAGTCTGCTTCCCTAACCTAATACTTCAGAACTTTGAATAGACTCCTCAAATGAGCTATGTGACTGCAACTAAAACTCCAATGGATCCCTTCTCTGACCTTTCCAATAGAAGCGGTGGTGGGACAAAGCAAAGAAATCCATTCATGCTCTGGGGCATAAGAATTTTAGAGGCTAGCAATAAAAGTTCAAGACATTTAGCTACTCTCTTGACAGGTCCTTTAACTAGAAAGATGTCTCCTAACGTAGCATCACAGGAAAGCAGTAGTATTTCTATAGAAACATATTCTGCTATTCTTTCTCAGGGGCTGTCAGCCCTGCATGTCCCTTAGGACTAACTGGGGAGCTTCAAAGGAAAATCCCAACACACATGCCTCACCCCAGACAAATCAGATCAGAATCTCTGAGGCTAGTGAATCTTGCCCCTTGGGATTAATTAGGAACATTTAAAAGAAACCCCAACACACATGCCTCACCCAGACAAATTAGATCAGAATCTCTGAAACTAGGGGATGATGGAGGAAAAAAATGGGAATGGTACTTCAAAAACAGCATATGAATGGCCTCACTCATTTTGGGGAATGTGTACTCAAAAAGTGCTCTGATTATTAAGGGAGGGGCAGAAAAGGAGTAATAAAATGTAATAATAATATTGTTAAAGATTGTGGTCTTTGGGACACATTAAAAAATTCTGGATGAGGGCCTCCCCTGGTGGTGCAGCAGTTGAGCCCTGGGCTGCGAAGCTGCGCACGGCCTCTGCAGCACCGGTTCGATTCTCAGCCGGCCAGTGAGGGTCCCACATGATGCGCAGACCCTTCCTGCCTCCTGCTGCTCCCCTCAGCAGTGTGTTTTGTCAGTCTGCCTGCTCTGCTCCCTGCTCTCGCTCTGTTGAATTCTCTCACCCTCCCGTGCTTCTGACTGTACCCAGTGCTTGAATAAATAAATGAATCTTTAAAAAAAAAAATACTGGATGAAAACAGTTCTCTAATACAGAAGGAAATACTGAGAGCTAACAAATTAGGGGGAAGATATCAGAAAATGAAATATTATGGGGAAATTATCTGAAACACATGGCAACATGCTGAAGACAGTAAAATTAGGATTGATAGAGAATTTTAGACAGTGATCCTCGCCGAATACCAAAAATGTCCTGTTTTTAAAATTAAAACAGTCCCCACCGTTAATCTTCTAAAATATGAAGTTAGAAAAGTTTGGGATGAGATTTCTGATACCAAAACCAATGAAGAGGAAAACTGGTTCATATGTTTGATGTGTCACTGGACTTACTTTGTCATGCTCCAATAAAAGAACTCCTTGACATACAAGGGAGAAGGAAGATCTTCAGTCAGATAGGAGGGTGCATAAAGAAATAGTTTTGTCATAATTCTTCCTACAGTTAAAAAGGTCGCTTTTAATTTTTTTATTATTTTTGCATAGAACTGGGTGTAGGTCAGAGGTTTGAGGGGTGAGAGGATTTACCAGAGACAGAATGGGAAGTTGAACAGGCAGTATTGAATGAAATACACTGCTGAGGGAAGCAGTGGGCAAAGCAGGAGAGGTCTGCAGCACCATGTGGGTCAGCTCCCTGGCTGAGGATTGAACTCAGTGGTGAGGGAGGACCCTAAAAAGATTGCTTTCAAAAAATGATTGAAGAAAGAAATGACAGTTTTCATGAAAGTCAGTATTTGCCAAGGAGTCCAAAGGTCCACTTGTGCTTGGTCATTAGTTACAGACATAAGATCTATTCCTACCTTAGAATGGATGGAATCCATTCACAATTTTTATGTCAAATTAGATTGCTGACTTGGCTTTTCTTGTATAAGCACTCCTTTGCCTTGTAGAAATTCTGCCCTGTGATATCCCTGCATCAGTGAGAGAAGAGCTGAAATAAACAGCCTGACAGTCTTCATAGTCTTCAAAGTCTTCAAGACTTTGAGTGTCACACAGTTATTTTAAAGAATCTCCATGAAGCATGGTTACAAGTTTTTTGAAGCTGTTATTTGAAAAGGCTTAACTTTTGTTCAAAGTTTTTATCAAGTTAATAAGTGATTACCACATTGAACTGTACACTACAAAGGGGAGTATTAGTTATTCATAAATTTAACAACCAAGTAGACAAATATTAAGTGGCAAAATTTTGTTTTTCTCTGGATGGGTGTGAATGAGTCAGGAGATCCAGTCCTAAGTTTTCCACACAAACTTCACATTCACTCCTTGGACTGTGTACAAATAATTTCCCATTTTAGTAGTGATTTGTTAAAAAAACTGAGTTGATGTCACAGAAATTTTGTTAAAATTTTGTTAAAATTTTGTTATAAAGCTGTTTTATATATATATATATATATATATATATTTTACTTAGGTGAAAATGATCGATCCAATTAAGTTTCTTAAGTTTCACTTAAGAAAAAGGACATCTCAAACATTATATGAAAACATTTAGCAAAATTGTTAAAGTGCCTATTTCTTTACCTAATACTCCACTTGCTCAAGTCTAATCTTTTTTTCATCAAACTTACTGAGGAATATCCTTGAACACAAAGTAAATGGAACCAAAAATACTACAACTATGACCAAGTATGGTAATTAGTAGAGCAAATCCCATATATTTAGCCTATGTGTCAGCCCACGGGGTAAAGTTACATGCAATGAGCAATTGTAAGCTCCCGCTGAGTAAATACCTACAAAATGGACACAATCTCTTTCAAACAGTGGGTTGGCATGGTCAAGTTTAGTCAGTTAAACACATTTTGTAAGTTGTTTATTTGCGATGCTGAATTCATTTACAATTCTTGGAGGGTTTTTTCCAGGTCAGACTACATTGGCACCACTGTACACTTAGCATCCAGGGGCGTGCCTAACCATCCACGTAAACACGCCATCACTATTTGCTGAATCAATACAGGGAAATCCCAGGAGTCCATTCCTGATTACAATTGGTTTGACAGGTCATAATTGTCCTTCATACTCCAAAACCTCAGTGATTTTACACATTGTTTATTTTTTGTGCTGTCTTAAAACACATGCAAACAGAATTTTTCTGTATGTAAATGAAAATGCACATACTGTTAGTGCTAATTTACCAATTTCGGAGGCTTTACCCCATTTTAGAATGTGGGCTGTATAGAAATCTGCTTATAATAAAAACTGACAACAACTGTGACAAAAATAAGGATATAATATTAAAATAAATCAAATGATATACAGTACTGTCATTATTCTGATACAGAATTTTTACACAGCAATATTGATACAGGTACAAATGGCAGGAAGTCAGGCAACTCATTACAAAAGACCTTCTGATTACAAATAAAGTTTAAATTACAACTTAATGCTGATTTAACAATGGTCACACTTCCTCTTCAAGTGACATTTTCTGGAACATTTCTAACTGAGATGTTTCAAAAATAAACTTTAAAAAAGAAAGAAATGTAATATTCTATTGGAAAATAAATCTTTTTTAAAAACACAGATCTAGAAATATGGACTAAATTGACTTTCCATTCCTTCGCACGGATCAAACAGCAGACCTGGAAGTCCACGTGCATAGACAGGTTCAGGGAGAGTCTGGAAGCACCCCCCCATTCTCCACTCCAGTGAAAGAAGTGTGGAGGGTTCAGTTCAACTACACGCCTTTCACTGTTTAAGTATCAGGCAAAAGCTTGATTCTCATCAGTGATTCTGCCATCAAACTAAAGGATTTTGTCTCTCTCAGCCCTTTTAAAATGCTAGAGGGGCCATGAAGGAAAGGGAGAAAAAAGTGAGGGCCAGAAAATTCTTTGAGGGGTGACAGACCAGAGACCAAAGTAGGAGGTGAGAGGGAGTTAAGAAAGAAAAACTTGCACAAAACACCAAATTCTTATTCCCCTCTTTTTGTGAAAATGGGTGTTATTGGCATAAAGAAAGCCAAACCAAACCAAAACACAAACTGGGAAATGAGAACCACTTCCATAATGACTTGCGCTTTATATTTCTATCCAAAATTAAAATCTTCTTTCAATAAAAAAAAAAAATCATCATTTAAAAGGCAAAGATAAAATGTGACTTGGAAAGTTGAGGAAGCAACAGCATTTTTTTCTGGCATCTTATTTGTTTGGCACAATCACAAGTAAATATGCTTTACATACATCATGTGGCTGTTCACATTTAAAGTTACTACTCTAAAGTGATTACTTTCGGGCTAAACAAATAAACCGGTTAAATGACGTTCGTAAACAGGCTAAGCCGGGCATACAAGGACAAGTGTGATGCATTCTCCGCCCAAAAAATGGAACCTAAAATAAAAAGGGAAACTGAGTCAGAGCAGGAACTGTTTACAAAACAAACTGAACAAATTGTTCTTGAGACATGTCTTCCAATAACTAGTGTTGATGGAATATTAACCATTCATTAGGCAACAAGTTCAGCACTTTTCTATGTATTATGCTTGTCCATCCTTACAGCCACCCTGTGAAGACAGCAAACACTTCAATAATACCCATTTTACAGATGGCAAACTGAGATGCTGAGCTATCAGTAACTTGCCCAAGGTCTCACATCCATGACTAGAAATTTGGCTGGCAATTGGGCCAGATAGACCAAGTCTTTTAACCATCAAGCTATACTTTCTTTTACTTTTTTGCATTTTAAACTTTTTTTTTAACATGTATTTCTACTGATACTCCTGAGGGAGAGCATAACATCATGGGCATGACTATATATACCTAATGAGCAAGTATAAATCCACAGACAATGGGCAACATATAAAGTCACATGTTTGCACACGCAGGTCAGGAGTCAAAATCCTGGTGGGGAGCAGGGAGGAACAGAGGACAATTACGAAAGGAGGCGAGCTCAGTTTGCAGACATGGAAGAAACTAAACTAAACCCGGCCTGGTGGGGAGAGCTAGCAGGAAAAGGTCGTCTTCATTCTGAGGGACCTTCAGCTGCTGCTTCAGAGTCCTGCCTAGGCCACCAGCACAGCAGGACTGAGGAGAGTCCAGCAGCAACAACGGCTCCCTGTGCTGGCAGGAGTGTGGTACACTCACACTATGTACGCTTCCTAAAGGCTGAGAGCAAAACTCATCTCCCTCCCCAAGGAATGGTGCCCTCCTGAGACCCTGCCTGCCCTGTAAGTGGTGTGGAGAAAGAATAGTCCAGACCTGGAGGCTGTGAATAGTCAAAACAAAATCACTCCAACCCAGGATAACACAAGGGAGGCAAGCTCTTACAGACTCCGGCCTCAGAGATGCTTCTGTAGTGTAAACATAGCAGAAAATGTGTCCTTGCTCTTTCCCAGATCAAATGCTTTGTTCAGGGTCATTCTAGTGTATTGCCTTCCACCAAAAGAGGCCGCCCCACACCATCTGTCCTTATGAGAACATCTGAGATGCACCTTCCAGATGCCTTCTAAATAATTTCTTTATGCATTTTAAAAACACACACACACAATTTGCAGACAGTGGCAGAACCATTCTAACCATTTTTGGGGGTTGAACTGACAGGACAGAACTAACTTTATGGTAGTCCAACCACCAATGTTCTCGGTGTTATTTTTGGGTGACACCATGCTCGTGTTCTTCTTACCTTTTTCTTTTTTCTTCTCTTCTTCTTCCTTCTTTCCTGCCTTCCATTTCCAAAATGGTTCTGGAAGGGCCAGGGAGATGATTGAGATCAATAAATACCGACGGAAGAAAGGGAGCAGTAGGCGAGCAAGGCAAGCACGTGGTGGACAGGCAGAGCCATCAGGTGTCTTTGTCTTTTTGAAAGGGCAAGATGTTCAAGACTCTGACGACAGTGTCTGTATCTGGCACCATGGCCACTGGCTCCATGGAGACTTGTACTCAGAATGGTTCTGTCACTGTGTGTGTCAAAGGTACATGGCTGGCTGGCTCATTTATTTTCAACAAGAAAAAGTCAGAGGAGGTGGGTACGGCTGCACTGGCTTGGCCAATTACAAATGTATAGTATGAGATCCCTTCTGTCCTGGAAACTGAAAACTTCCCATTTTCCAAGCCTAAAGTTAATGCTTGCCCAGTGGCTCTCAACTGGGGGTGATTCTATCCCTACTACCCAGGGGATATCAAGCATGGTCCAAAGATATTTTTGGTTATCACAACTGGGGGAGGGGGCAGTGCTATTGGCATCTAGTGGGTAAGAGCTCAGCAATGTGGCTAAACACAGTGCACATGACACAGCCTCAATGACAGAAAATGACCCCAAATGTCAATGGGCTGAGGATGAGAAACACTGACACAGGCAGAGAATCCAAGAAAAATGAGTCTGAAATGAGGGACCTAGAGGGATAGTGAACCTGTCAAACTTACACATGGAAGACAAGCAGGCTTCTTTTACTCATTCTATTAATTGTTGACAAACATAGCAGGTGCTATTTCAGCCACCAAGCATACAGTGGTAAACAAAACAGAGGCCCTGTCTGTAGGGAACTTGAACTTTAATGATGAAAGGTACACATCCAGTAAGGCGGTTTCAGCTGGCTAGTAAGTGCCCTCAGGGTGGACAGGGACGCTCTGAGCTTTGAACATCATGACACTATGGTGACTCTTTGGCCTGCCATGTGGGTTCTGCTGTCTTCAAAGCAGCAGAAAAATAGGCCAGGATTCCTACAGCTTGTGTAGGAACTCCACACCAAACCCGAGAGCCAGGTTGTCACCTCACTTTGACATGAGTGAAGTAACATGGCAGCTAAGGTTACTAGCTAGAAGGGGTTTGTGTCATCATCAAATCCAGTCCCATTTTCTCCCAAATTATGCTTTTTTTCTCAAGTGCCAGACTCCAGACTCTTTGAAGGATGGGCCTCGTCTGTTTTACTCATGAACCCACAGCACTTAGTGGTTTACATAGGAACACTCAAGAAAATATTTGTTAAATGCCTATCTCCTTCCCTCTCCAAGAGGGACCATGAACTCTCTGGAGGTAAAGGGGTGACCCTCTTAGGTCCTGTGGCTGCCCCTCACCCTGCCCACGTGACACACACCACCAAACTGAAGACAGGGACTTATACTGTGAAGTCAAGAAGCTGAAGGCCCTCACAGTGTAAGCCCCTCAAGTGTAAGGTCACATATTTTGTGACACTCTCAAAGACATCTTTGTAGATGTAGATATTCTTCTACATATCATCTTACCAAGGGCAACAAGACCACGTACAACTCAACCAGACCTTCCTCAACCGACACTAACCTCATGGAACATGCAGCTGTCACTTTATGCCTTCTCCTTATTCTCAGCAAACCTACCTCCTTTTTCCAAATCCTGTCTGTTTCTCCCTACTCCAAGCATTTCCTAACTGCACCAGCCCAGCGCCTTGGCCCTCTTCCCATTCCACCCATGAGGCCCTCTTGATCAAGACCTTGAGTGCTGGTGTGATACATTCACTAGATAATTGCTGGTTTCTCAACTGGCCCACTCAGTTCAGATGTTGGCTGCACATGCACCGTGTGACAAACCTGACAGGTATCTAATAGTCACAAGTGCATGAGAAAGTAATTAGAGAAGATGCATTTTCTGATATACAAAGGCAGTCAAGGAGCTAACCATTCAGTCAAATTTGATGATTTACTGCAGAATCAATCATGTCCTTGACCCAAATTTCTAACAGCCTACACCTATGCTGAGGCAGGCCCACCAGCACTCTCAAGGAGGCATGATTCTTACCTATTTGCAGTGATTTTAAAGAGAAAATAGCACTAATATGAAACATATTTTTTTTTAATTTGCATGGGACTTTATTTTTTTTAAGATTTATTTATTTTATATAAGAACTGGGGTACAGGTCAGAAGCTTGGGAAGGTAAGAGAATTCACCAGAGCCAGAGCGGGGAGCAGAACAGGCAGACGGACCAAAGACACTGCTGAGGGGAGCAGAGGGAGAGGCAGGAGAGGTCTGCCGTGCCATGTGGGGTTCGTGGGGTTCTCCCTGGCCAGGGGAGGGGGGGAGGTATCGAACTGGAGCTGCAGAGGCAGCGGACAGCTCCGCAGCGCGGTGCTCAACCACTGCGCCACCAGGGAGGCCCCAAACATACTGTTTTTGATGTCTCTCAAAATAGAGTCAGTTATAATAAAAGGGAAATCTAACAGAATACATGAAGTCTTGTCATATGACATAAAAAGCGCTGGTACTGTTACATTACTTGTAATAAAGCCAGCTTCGTTACAACGTTTCTTAACAGAAGTAAATATTTAAAAAAAATAAATAAATTGCATAGCACTACATAAAATAAAAACTAAAAGTCCCATACTCCCACAGTTTCTGGTTTTAATAATTATGAAGATTGTCACTGAATTTGGCAAGTTTTACACTATTTCTTCAAAAATGTTTGGACGAGATATATATCCATATAGCCCAAAGTCATTCAACGATTTATCTATATCCCTCTTGTGAGCAGAGGGTTAACATGGGGCCTGGACTAATGCATCCCTGAGCCTCTCTCTGCACCGATATTTCAGAGATTCCCTCTGCTGCGGAGAGCCCTGCCCAGGCCCAGGGGAGCAGTGGGCACAGAGGCCTTGGGCCTCGACTAGGGGGGCACAAAAGACTCAAAAGAAATAAAGGTGGTAGCCTCAGTGGGTCAAGGGTAATCCACATATACCCTGGCTCTCATCTGTGGCAGCCACAAGCACCCTGGATGGATAAGAGGGCATTGAGCTACGTGCTTGGGATGCTGATGAGGGCCCGAACAGACAGGTGTGCTGGGGACTCCTACCCTGTTTCCTGGAAGGCTGAGTAAGGGCAGTGTTCAACCACAGCAATTCCCACCCCCACATCACCCCCAACTCTACTCAGGGGCATCCGTCAATGTCTGCTCATTTGGATGTCGCTACTGGGCAGGGAGTGAGCCTGGCATGGGAGGGTAGGGGTGGGAGCCGGAAATGTTGCTCAACATTCTACAGTGCCCAGCACAGCCCCCAAAGTTATCTGATCCAAAATGTCGATAGCACCGAGGCTGAGAAACTCTATCTTAGACTAAAGCAGAGTTATGTCTTGACAGTTTCTCTGCCAATTTAAACCTGTAATCACAGCTACATTGTTGCTCTGACAGACCAAATGTAGACAGCTGCTCTGACTTGACAGCAAAGATGAGGAAGTCATCCTTTCTTGTATATGAGCTATATGTTTTTTTAAAAAAAGATTTTATTTATTTTATACAAGAACTGGGGTACAGGTCAGAAGCCGGGAAGGTGAGAGAATTCACCAGAGCCAGAGTGGGGAACCGAACAGGCAGACAGACCAAAGACACTGCTGAGGGGAGCAGAGGGAGAGGCAGGAGAGGTCTGCCTTGCCATGCGGGGTTTTCCCTGGCCGGCGGGGAATCGAACAGGAGCTGCAGAGGCTTCGGACAGCTCTGCAATGCAGCGTTCAACCGCTGCGCCACAGGGGAGGCCCGATATAAGCTATATTTTAGTGTTCAAACAACTCATAGAATTATAATTATGTTTACATCATTTCAGCATAGGTTGGTTCTAAAATAGGAATAGCTAATAATTTTTAAATCTTCCTTTTTTTTTTCACATGAACAAGACCCAGGTTTAATTTTGAAATTTTTTTCTTCAGAAAAGGAAAAAGTACTGGTCAAATTTTAAAGTGTAGGTAAAACAAAAAACAGAAAACAAAACTGGTAGTAAAAAATTGTCATAAAAAGTAGAGCAAAATAAAAAAAAAACAAGATTAATTTTTTGAAGGAAACAGTTGCTATAATAGAAAGAAACCATAAAATATTAAGCAATAAAATTAAAAGTATTAATCACATAATTATAAACCTCCAAAACTAACCAATAATCAGAATTGGATAGGAAAGGCTAATCTCTTTTGTAAGCTCTGAAAAGTATAGATATTAGTAGAAGTTAAAATACTATTATTTTAAGACAGCAAAGTATTCTCTGTAGATAAATGATTCAATAACTCAGTCTCAATTATTAAAAAAAATTGCTAGAATGAATATATGTGAAAATTATTTGCCTTAAAATTTGTTTAGAAAACATGCATCCTGGGCCTCCCTGGTGGCGCAGGCGGTTGAGCGCCGCACTGTGAAGCTGTCCGCAGCCTCTGCAGCACGGGTTTGATCCCAGCCGGCCAGGGAGAGTCCCACATGGCGTGGCAGACCTCTCCTGTCTCGCCCGCTGCTCCCCTCAGCAGTGTGTTTATCAGTCTGCCTGTTCTGTTCCCCACTCTGTCTCCGGTGTATCCTCTCACCCTCCCACGCATCTGGCCTGTACCTGGGTTCTTGTATAAAAATAAACAAATCTTAAAAAAAAAAAAGGAAAAAAGCATGCATCCTATTCTTCTTAGGTGGACTTGTAATTTCTTCTCTTTTTTAATTATCAAATGTAAAGTTCAAAGCCAGATAATTACAAAATAAGCTTAGCAAGGACTATAAACCTTGTAAGTGAAGTGGTACATCTGAAATAAGATAGTAAACTGAACTCAGTAGCTTCAATTCCTACCTACAAGGTTTTCAATTTAATTCATCAAATATTGTTCACTTTATCAAAAGAAACACTCTTGTGTGTAAAATGTGAACAAGTCTAGTCTTCACTTATTCACAGCCTTCTGTTTTAAAAACACCAAGTCCTGTGACTTCAAGCATTTTTCCAAAAAAATTTTAAGCATCAACCTATCACAATAAAACAGAATTTTCTATGCAGTGTATACACTTCTGCCACCTACTCATGGTCCATTACACTTCAAAGCAGGGTTGAATACTGTACATAATGTTTACCAGAAGAGATGTTGATAAAGCACTTATTTTCTTTAGTTATTTTAAATATGGTTGATATTCTGGAAGAACTAGAATTTTACCACGACAGGTTAACTTCACCCCAAAAAAGTAACAACTCTGGGACTTACTCTCAAAAAAGAGCACTGAAATGATGTATGAAAATGTATTTTCAAGACAGAAAAATAACCAGTAAGAATAGCTAGCTATCAGAGTTCTAGGAATACTTCTCAAGTGAGATCTGACTTGAACATTCAGATCTAACAGAAAAACTTGTTTTTTTCTATGACATCAGTTATTTTGCCACTTAATTTTACTATGAAAATCATAACCTGTTATTAAAGATTTCATTATTAAAACTATGATAAAAACTGAAGTGTAGAGATGTATCTTGGCTTACCAGAGAAGATTGATTTAATTCAGTTTCAGAACTGACCTTGCACCCAAACCTGAATTACAAGTGACCTATGGAACTGGGGAACCAGAATTTGGTTCTCTTAGCTCATATTTGGAAATCTCATTAGAATTATAACCCAAATGTCCCAAAATAGATGACTGGATTAAGAAGATGTGGTACGTATATACCATGGAATATTACTCAGCATTCAAAAAAGATAAACACATGCAATTTGCAGCAACATGGATGGACCTGGAAGGGATCATGCTCAGCGAAATAAGCCAAAAAGAAAAAGAAAAATACCGGATGGTCTCACTCATAGCAGGAATCTAGAAAACTTAAATAAGGGACCAGGAAAATGAGTAACTATAAGAAAGTGAAAATCAAAATCAACAAACAACTATGAACCAGAGACACTCTATGGGAGGTGGGGGGTGGGGAGGGGAGGGATTGGGGTCAAAATAAGGGGGTTGCAATTGCATGGGGAATATAAAAATAAATTTATAAATAAATAAATAAATAAATAAAAGTTTAGATTGGCACATAAAAAAAATAAAAAATAAAACTATTAAAAAAAAGAATTATATAGGATGCAACAAATTCCCCTGGGGAACCCTTATCCTTCATCCTAGTGACCATCCTGCCCTCGTGAACCAGCTTTGTGTCACTGGGCTGGAACATGTGCAAATCAAACACCACAACAGCTTTCCTGGAGGTAGGAAAGTACAATGATGGAGACCACAGACAACGGAGTGTCAGAAAGAAGCTAAATCCAGCGCCTGCTCTCTGACCTATCACCTGTGACCTCAATGAGTTACTGAAAGCCCTCCAAGACTTTAATGTGGTATGGAGAATGTGACAGAAATTGATATATTCACAGGCTTGTTGTGTGCTAAGTAAGAAATGCAGCCATAACAGTCAGTATAGAGTGTGGTACATCACAGCACTCAATCAGCAGCAGCTATGACTGCTATTGAGACACAAACAGCTCCACAGGATGTGTCACTCTTTACTTGTTTTAGCAAACAGGCTACTTGATTCTAGAACCTAGGACCTGTGAGGTTGACTATGACTGTACACAAACTACATATTTCTTAAAGGACAAGGCTGAGCTAAGAGCAAACTTTTGGTGACAGGGCTCCAAAGCATAATGGCGCTTCATGTTCGAGAAGAGGAACGAAAAAACTGCGGTCAGTGAAACAGGCAGCTGGGCTTGTTTCACCTCCTCGTGATGAGTTTGGCATTGAGACAGACAACACCTAACGGTTTATAACACTTTCCTGTCTGAAAGTGGCCCAGAACAAAAAGGTGCACGTCATGTTTAGTGACAGCACAGTATCCGGGGGTAAAACTGTGGGAGGAATGGCCTAAATGTAACAGAAGAATTTCTTCAGGAAACCACAGGAAAGCCAAAGACAGTCTTCACACAGGCCAAAAAACCAGGGTCCACCCTGTAGCTCACAGAGCTGAACCTCAGCCAGCAGGCCGATGTATTTCATTATGTTCATTCTGAGAAAGTTAAAATATGAACTGTTTGTTATCTGTGACTGTGGAGTACAGGAAACATGTTTGATTCTACTAGTTTTAAACCCCAAACCACATGTGAAAAAAAAGAAAAAAAGCCAGAAGGTGGATTCAGTTTGTTTTGCAAACAATCTTTTAAAATGAATGAATGCAATGTGTATCATGAACACTGCAGAGAGAGAGCTCAGACTCCAAGGAGGCACCCAGCCTAACTTGTCCTTCAGTGCCCCTGGACTCACGTACCTGCTGGGTGAAGCAGGAAGGCAGCACTGAGAGAGAGCAAGGCACGGCAACCTAGATCCCAGGGGGTCTATACTGAGTTCATATTGGGTTTCCAAAGTTTTTGAGTCTGAAGAGCAAGGACCCTGTAGGCTCCATACACTTCTCTGCTCCCTCTCGTCTCCCACCACCCTTTCCTGAAGTCACGCAAACCTTCCTGGGCTCTGCAAACAGAAGGTCTGTTGCACAGCCTCTGCAGCCCTGTCCAATCCTGCCATCCTAAGGTCATGTCACTAACTGGCAGTAATTTTGCAAAAGGGTTGCTTAGATCATTGTGATATTGAGCTGTCAGATAATAAATTGGAAAATTAAATATCATTAGCTGTTAGGGTTGTGACCATCGTATCCCATGGCTAGAGTCAAAATATAGGATTTCATTAAAAAAAAAACTAAATTTAAAAATATAGGACTTTTAAAATAAAAATGTAGTTATACTATGGATGACTTTCTGCAAAAAAAAAAAAAAACAACAGACTTATTTGTGGTTTATTGATAGGTCAGATAATAAAAGGTTTTTTAAGAACTTCTATACTTTAATTTTTGTGAAGCGTAGCCAGTGTAAAAAAAACATATATGTATATACATAATACATATGTATGTACATACATACTGTGTCTTCAATAATTTTTAAGCAAATTCATGTGTTTGAAATTGATTTATGAAATGTTTCTAATACCATGAAAGCATTGATAAGAAAAAGCTCACTAGACTAAGGATGGTAGAAGAGACAATTCCTTAAAATTTACAGGGGATGGAGAGAGGAGGTGGTTTTCCATTGTCATCTTCTTTAACCTTCAACCACAAACAAATGACCCTGGGCTTCATGTCCTACAGGCTTTGCTTGGAGTTAAGGTACCACCAACAGAAGAGAAATACTGAGAATACAAATATATATACTAACTTTGCGAGTCAGCGGGTGGCAGCTGTCTCCCACTTTGCCCATCGGTGTGCAAATCCTTATGCTTTTAACCCAGATACTAACAGCACAGCACATGCCTCCACCACACTGGGGGTCCTTGTCACAGGCCTGAAATGTAATAAACACACAGATAAATATAGATATCGGGAAAGGCTCAGGCTGAGAAAATCTGAAAATAGCAGTAAAAAATATTCTGATTTAATAACCACACGTATAAAAAAGAACTGTCACCTTCATTTGCATGCACATATTTATAATAAAACCTGATCAGAGTCTCCTAGATTTAAAAAAAAAAAGCTTAAATAGTGGCCCACAGATTATAAAAATCTTAAATACAAGAATTTTGAAAAAGCAAAATCAGCTCTCCTCTTTCAGTGCTTTAAGGCAGAATTGATTTTGAACTTGAAGAACGAGTCTTTATTAGTCTGATACCGTACATGGCCATTAGGAACTATATAAATCGAATCACAAGATTTTATGACTATTAACTGCAGAATACATTGGGCCCAACTTTAAAAAGGGATTTAAATGGTCTCTAAATCTGGCATGAAATGCTCCAGACCCATAAAGGCACTCATGTAAATTTTAGAAGTGCTCATTTCCCTTTCAAATATTTGCATTTTGGTTCATGAGACTTGATGTTACTCACCCCACTGACTTGATTTTCACCATTTCCTCTATAAAGAAAGAATGCTCTTAGGTTGAGAATGGACAGACCAAGACTTTTGTCCTATGTCACTTTTTTTATGGGGTGGGGGTGAGTAACCTACAGAAAGGAAATTAGTGGCTTATGATATTCATAAATGTATATTTGAAAATCAGCTGAACTATTACATAAGATCCATCAGGTTAAGAAATGCGATCATATTAAAGACGCAAGTGACAACAAGGCTTTACTTTATATCCTTCCAATATAAAAATTGCAGATACGTATATAATCAGAGTCAACTGTGAAAAACTTTCCACATTTTTATTCCACTAAATTGAAATAAATAAGGAAGCCTAAATTTATTTGCATGAAAATGGATCTGAAGAACTATGTTCTTCCCTCACATCAACAGAAAATAGGATGCTTTGTTTGAATGGTGTGCAGTAATCTGTTTTGCGAGTGATAAGGTAAAAAGCATCTGGTACTATATAAGCAAGAAAACAGAAAGGCTAAAATTTCAGCACAAATTTAAATGTGTACTTATTAGCAACAACAAAAACACTTCTTTGAAGTTCTTAGTTTTGGGGACAGCCATAATTTCTCAAAACTCTTCATTCATGAAGAGTGACCAACTAACTATCTTGCTTTTGAGTTAATTTATTTCTCCCGCTAGAATTTTTTCTCAGTCTACTTACAAAATGTATCTTGGAGCTCCTGGACATTTATAGGACGATATCTACACATTTCCATTTTCAATTGTTATCTATATGCCAGAAATCACAGCTACATGGCAACTGCAATTCTATAATTGAGATGCTCAGTATGTGATGCTTTTCCAAAATAGTCTTAACAAATCTATATGGACAGATAAATCAATTTCCAGATAAGTACATATATTACCTCCCTAAGTAAATAATTAAGGTGGAGGCTTCAGGTAGTATTTTATTTCAACAGATGCTCAAGACTCTGAATTCTGAAGCCCTACTACCTCTTTTTATAAGACAACCATAATCTTTTAAAATTCAATCAATCACTTGGATGTTTAATATATTTTTAGGACAACAGATCTAAATAAGTTACTGAGTTTTTCATTTGACTCCAGATGGTTCCTGTCATGGAGACATAACTACATTTCTTTATTGCCATGTTGCTTTAGAGATTTTTTTTTAATTATCTTTTTGTAACACTGAGTGAAAAGAACAACAAAAATAGCAAACATGACTATATAAGACCAGTCTAAAGCTCTCTAACAGATAAATATCCAAAGTGCTAAGATTCCATTTTGTAATGAAAAGCTTCAGTTCTTGGAAATATTTATAAAGAACTGCATAGGTTTATATAGTTTTAATTAGACAGCTGTTTCCTAAGGCCCTTCATCCATAACCCATTGCAAATCTATTCAAATAGTGTTGTCCTGTGAATGGAACAAAAAGATACTTATATTGCAAAGGAATTTTGGGCTCAGAGGATTAGAAGAAATTTAAAATGAGCCAGCAGGGGAAGAGGGAGAAAAAAACAATCTTGTTTCAATTCTCATGTATGAGAGCTGTAAAAACTTTTTTTTTTTTTCCAAACACAAACTGTGGCTACTGACAAAGCTTTTCAAATACAGTTTTTTTTTTAAATCTCCAAACTATTCTACTAAATATCACAATGCTTATAATTGTCTATTGGACACAACCAAAACTGTTAACAAGAGCTTTCAATGTGCTGTAGAGTGTTAACTAACATGGAGACAACAGTTTTATTTTCTCAAGACAATCACATTTTCTTTAAACGTGTTAATTTCATTAGGTATCAGCATTTCAAATACAAAAGTTGTATTTAACCCCTACAATGTGCACTTCATATTTAAAGGAACTTCAGGTGTAATATAATTTCACACTTAAGAGAAGAGCAGAGCAGTAAAACCACCAGGAATGGTAGCCTTTTTTAAATGATTGATGTGAAACTAGACTTTTAAAATGATTGATGTAAACTAGACTAGACTTTTAAAATGTAAGCTCATGTCATCCTTTAGATCCACACAAAGAAAACTGTGCTGGCGAGAGTAAGAGAAAATTAAATTAGTTCCTACTTACAAAAATGATGAAGACGTTTTCTCTTAAACTGCAACGACATCTACATGGCAACCTACTCCGAAATTATGCCAGAGCACCGGAGGTGCCTCGTCAGTAATTAGACATGAACAACTTTTCCAAGGAGAACCTCAGGACGCGGGGGGGGGGGGGGGGGGGGGGGGGGGAAGCCCAGGAACGAAAAGGAAGCGCCCACAATTGCCTTTCAAAGCGCACACATGGCCTGGGACCAAGTTGTTTCAAAGAGCTTCTGCGGAGGGCGCACCGGGAGCAAACTCCTTGACTACCGGATTAAGATTCTCGAGCTTTGGAGTAGACGTCTCTCCCCTTTGCATTTCCGGAAGGGCCCCTCAACTTCGAAGGTTCGAGGCTGGAGCGTCTCCACAAGGTGCTTGGGAGCACCCTGAGAGAAAACTTTCGGCTTAACGGAAATGCAGCCAAACGCGAAGAGAGGCTGCGGGGCGCTCAGCGGGAGCCGGCGGGAGAAGGTGGCGGGATGACACTTGGTCACTTTTTCCAGCCGGGCGCTCCGTGCGTCCCGGCCCGCCTGCTGCTTCGGAGCAGGGCACTTTTCCAAGCGCGCCCAGAGGCGAGCGAGGCAGGTGTCCCCGCGCGGGGCGAGCCTCCCCTGCCCCCGAGAGCCCCCGCGGCCAGCCCCGCGGCCGCCCCCCGAGGCGCAAGGCGCGCTCGCCTCCCCGCGGACAGGTGCGCAGGCCGCTTACCCCGGTGATGACCGCGGCGTCCCCGGCGGGGGCGAGAGCAGCAGCGGCGGCAGCAGCAGCAGGAGCAGCAGCGGGGCGCAGCGCGGGCTCCTCATGGCGCCCTCGGGACTAGGCGGCGGTTGGGGGCCGTTGGGGGCGCGCTGGCTGGAGCGCGGAGCCGAGGGCGAGCGGGCGTGAGGGCGGCTCTGCGAGCCTCCGGCCGGCCGTTATAAAGGCGAGCCGGGCCGTGACTCACGCCGGCGCCCGCCCGGCAGCACGCGCGGGGGGCACGGCGCGGGCACACACCCCACGCCCCACGCGCACACGCGCGCCCACCCCCGGCCCGGCCGGCTTCCGAGACGCGCACGTGCGGCGCGCGGCTCCCCGCACCCCCGCCTCGGGCGCCACGCAGGCAGCGCCCCCCGCGGGGCGCCCCGCTCTGGCCCCTTCCCTCGCCTGTCGCCCGCCGCTGCTTTCGCACGCGCCAGAATGGCTTTTGTGGTCTGAGACACACTCGCTTACTGTCCTGGTTTCCAAAGCTCCACGTGCTCAGCGCCGAAAACTTGGAGTTCATTTGCTGTGCAGATGTTCAAGGAGCGCCTACTACGTGCCAGGCGCTGTGGACCCATGGAGGTGCTGGGAGGGGAGTCGCCGGGGCGGTGGTGGTGGTGGGGGAACAAGAGCCTCTGCGTGTGTTGATCCGTTCAGCAAGTCTTTCCAGAGTCCCCCCCACCCGCTGTTTGCCAGGTACTGCCGCCCGGGTCTGTCCTCATTGGTCGAAAAACTGAACAGAAAAGCTAGACATCAAACAAACAAACAAACTGGAAACGTAGAAGACAGGGAAAAAGAACAAAGGAAGAGCAAATCACCTTAAACCCACACCCCTGACAATATTGAGGGGCTTGTCCTTCCAACTGTGGGAGTCCAATGTATTTCTTTCATTCCAAAAGCTTTCCCTTTCTGCCCACATCTGTTCCCGACCGATCGTCTCCTCTGATTTTCCTCCCTCCTTAGCATCACCCCAGCTTCAGGCAGAGCAGTTGAGGATGATGCCAAAGGGAAATGAGACCGCCTGACTTCAGGTGCCAGCCCAGGCACCTCAAGTCTCAAGTCCTAGCTAGGCAGCTTTCTCTTTTACCTTTCAGCTTTCTCTTTTGTCTTGCACAGGGCGTTATTGCAAGTCATTGTAAATCTGAATTGAGTACCTACTGGGTTCTAGGTCACCTGTGAGAAGACCAGTGACAAATTTGCCCTCCATTGCTTCAAGAATCTCAGCCTATTTTTCCTAAAAAAAAAAAAAAAAAAAAAAAAAAAAGGTATCAATCACTCCTAATTGTGACCACGCCAAGCTGGCTTGCTTTCTTACTGAATCTCAGACCCTCTGACTTTCCCTTGTCCCTGATGGAACACAAACTGTTGAAAAGCAGATGCGTTTTTCAGCCTCTTTAATACATGCAGTGAGGAGAGTCAGGGCAAAGTTACTTTCAGACTGTGGGACTCCCCCATGCCAAAGCATTCAGACTAAGATGTGGAAAAAAAAAAAAAGGCAGGCAATTATCCGAATGTTAAACAGCTGAATATTTGGTAAGCTAAATCTTTGACTGATTTTTAAAACCTTCTTTTACACGTGTTTTCATGTTTGAGAAATGTCCTGAAGCAGAAAACAAAAGTCAAACTCTTTTTTAACTTTTAAAAAATTGGTAAAATTGAACTCACAGTAAACTAAGTGGAAACAGTAGCAAGTGACAGATTGGTGGAAAGTTTCCTTTTCCAGTCTCCATGCCAACGCTAGCATGGGAATGCAACGGGTAAATGTAAAAACCAGTCAACATGGATTTGAACATTCCTACAACTTTTTTTAAATGGGCTATTTCATATTTGCTACTATTGAATGCCAGCTTGGGTATTCCCTGCTTCTCCAAGGATATGCCAACCTAGAAAATCAAATTTCAAAAGTAAGGGCTTGATACATGGCTCTTTGGAAAACAATCCTCATAAGGCTGTTTTGAAACAAGGTTGGAAACACTTAAAAATCGGGTTGGTTTGGTTCCATGTTGTTTCTTTTGATCATGTTGTTTCTTTTAATTGTTTTAATGTTTTAGAGGAGAAACAAAGGCTCCTGATGTGACAAATTGTTGCCTCTATGGCCAAGTTAAAAAAATGAAGTCTGAAAGTTAGTTCTGCCTTATAAAAAGAAAGATGAAAGGTTGAGTTTGAATTTAGAAAAACAAGTTAGGTAGGAAAGCCAAACTGCCAACACTGAGATAGAAATTCTAGTCTACTTATTACTGCCGTTCTAGTCTACTTATCATTGCAACTTGTTGGTAATGCCACACCATTCAGTCCAAGAATAACTATAGAGAAGACCCAAACTTTGTATAGTTCAAAGTGTAGATGCCTTTATTCTAAATGATCGTCAAGGCTCTATTGAATCAAAACATCAGTGCTGGTAAATCCATAGGACCCTGTATTTGTGAATTGGACCAACCTGCATAAGAATCTTGAGTCACTATTGGACAAGTGCTTAACCTTTCTAAGCCTTGTTTTCTCATCTATAAAATGGATGTAAAATACCAGCCACATGGTGTTCAACCTCCATGGGGTTTAATGAAGATGATATCTGTAAAGTCCTTAGCACAATGCCTAAAACAGACTGAGAGCTCTGTAAGTCTTATTTGGTGTCTTCTGACAACTTCAGCTGAGGCTAATAGGTTGTTATTTTTGTCCTTCCACCAGTTTAGATTGTGCTCACCTTGTGGTTCAGATCCTTTTGTGTAATCTTCCATATCCCCCTCTTGGCACAATGATGGGCATGTAATAGGCACTCATGACTAATTGATGCTCCACAGGAGTACATCCTTTGAGAACATTCTGGAGACAGGTGAAAGAAAACTGTATACTGTGTGGACACATTTTAATTATTGGATCAGTTGATGATAATCAGCAAAAAGCAAGTGGAATAAATAGATACTTTACCTGGTGTAGGTGATTCACCCTGTCATTCTACTCAGTGAACAGGTGACTGAAATAGGTGAGCCAGACAGGAGACATAAACCTCCCTCACTGCAGTTACTCTGGGACCCAGGCTGATGAAATCTCCATCTCAACCCGTGCTTCATGATTGCCAGTATAACTTGGTGCTGTGGGTTATGTTGTATTCTTCCCGAAACAATTTTCAGCTCTAAATCTCTAGTACTTGTGAACATGACCTTGTTTGGAAGTATGATCTTTGCAGATGCAATCAATTTAAGTGAGATCATACTGAGCAGAGCAGGCCCCAAATGCAATGACTAGTGTCTTTTTAAGAGAAAGGGGAGAGATATTTGGACAGAGACACACAGGGAGAAGGTCAGGTAAGGGTAAAGCAGAGATTGGAGTGTTGCATCTCCAAGTCAAGGAACATACAGGAATCCTCAGAAATTGCAACACACCAGGAAAGATTCTTCCTTAGAGTCTTCAGAGGGCATGTCCTCTGAAGGCATGTCCTGTATGATACCTTGATTTTGGAATTCTAGCTCCTGGAATCACATAAGAGTAAATTTCTGTGGTTTAGTCACCCAGTTATCATAAAACTAGTGCACATAGATAAGACTGGAGAATTTCTCATCAGCTTTGGAATACCTCTGCTGGAATTTATGCATGTGGCTTCTGCTCATATTTTAGTGAACAAAAAAGGTCACACTACTGAACTTTAAAAGGATGGACAATGCAAGTCTGCAGTACATTCTGGTTTCCGAGGAGAACCAGAAATCTGGTGAGCAGCACCATATTTTATAGGGTAGGGATCAGTCATGGCTTAGACTTCTTAATGAGCATAATGAAATTTGAATGGCTTTAATAATTATTACAAATGAAAATGTGCTCTCCTCTGTGTTTGTTTCTAGTTCAGTATTCCTTATAGTAAAATTTTACAAAGACTTCACAAGAGAGTAAATGTGTAAGCTGGTGTTTTCTTTCAGGGGGGTAGAAAACTGTCACTCATTCATTTATTCAACTGATATTTCCTAAGTGCTTTAAGGCCAGATGCTCTGACAGGCTCTAGGGATGCAATGGTGAGCAAAGCAGACATGAAACCAGCCCCCTGGGAGTTTGTAATCTAGTGGGGAAAGGACATGTATCAAATAATTAGACAATCACATAATTACAGGAAGCAAATGAAGAGGAAATTAAGGTGCCAGGAGAGGAGACCTGAAGTTTTCTGCAAAGTAAGTGTGTCCAAGGAAGAGCTCAATCAAGCTCCAGAGTAAGACTTAACTGGGATGAAGAACGGGGACAGCGGGAAGGGGCACTGCAGGCAGCGGGATCAGCTTGTGCCTGAGATGGGGAAGTGGAGGAGCCAAGGAAGGAGTCCAAAGGGGAAACCTGGTGCGAAAATACAAGCGTACTTTGTTTATTTTGCTTTGTATTACTTCCCTTCACAAATGCCGCTATTTTACAAACTGAAGGTGGGGGCAACCCTGCCTGGAGCCCACGTGTCAGCGTCATTGTTCTAACAGCATGTGCTCACTTGTGTCTCTGTGTCTCCTTTGGCAGTTCTCATGATATTTCATACATTTTCATTCTGATTTTTTCTATGCTAGTGATCTATGATCAGTGTTCTTTGATGCTACAAAAAAAAAAAAAACTCGCTGAAGGCTCACATGATGATTAGTATTTATTTGGGGCAATAAAGGATATTTTATATTTTTTAAAGATTTATTTATTTATTTATACAAGCACTGGGTACAGTCAGAAGCACGGGAGGGCAAGAGAATTCATCAGAGCCAGAGCGGGGAGCAGAGCAGGCAGAAGGACCGAAGTACACTGCTGAGGGGAGCAGCGGGCGGCAGGAGAGGACTGCGGGCCATGCGGGACCCTCCTCTGGTGGCCGGGGAGCAGCCGGGGAGCGAACTGGCTCTGCGGAGGCTTCGGGCAGCTTCGCAACTCAGCGCTCAACCGCTGCGCCACCAGGGAGGCCCAATAAAGGATATTTTAAATAAAGGTGTCTATATAGTTTTTAAATGTGCTATTGCACACTTGCAAGACTACAAGTGTAAACCTAACTTTCATTTTCACTGGGAAACCGAAAATTCAGTGTGACTGTTGTACTGCAGCGTTTGCTTTGTTGTGATGGTCTAGAAC